AATACAGCTTTCACTAAACATATTGTAGAAGTTATGATAAAAGCTCATGAAGAAAAGCTAGAATTAGAGGTTTCAATACCTAGAAAATTGCATGATGAATGAGAACCTACAATTAAAGTAAAAAATTAAAGATAATGAATGTAATGCTTTATGTGATTTGGGTCTAGCGTCTCCACTATAGAAAAATATTTATGTGATGTGCTAGGCCTTACCGATTGGATGAATGTTCCCTTAATTTGCATTTAGCGGATTTAACTATTAAGAAACCATTGGGTAGAATAAATGATGTGCTCATACTTGCTAATAGGAATTATGTGCCTGTTCATTTCATTGTGCTTGATATTGATTGCATTCCCTCTTGTCCTATAATACTTAGTACAGCTTTCCTACGAACCATAGGTGCTATTATTGATATGAAAGAAGGAAATATAAGGTTCCAATTCCGGTTAAAGAAAGGGATGAAACACTTCCCTAGAAAGAGAATTAAACCACCATATGAATCTATTACGAGGGCCACCTATGGAATTAATTTGAAGGATGACAACTGATACGTCCATTTCGCATCACATTTTCCTACTGTTATTTATTATGTCTTATGTCACTATTTCACTTTACGATACAATTCTTATGTCTTTTCTCTCATATTTTGCAAGTTTTACATGAAAAGAGAGATTGTCAGCAGCTAGAATTCTGGACCAAAAGGGGCTACAGCAGAAATAGCTATTCTGCACAACTCCAAATGGCCTGAAAATCTACGAAGAATTGTTCTGGAATATATAACAAATATTGGCGGAAGAAACCATTGACATGTCTCCTTTTGTGGATCCCAAAAAGAAGTCGTTGAGCATCTCAAAGTTTATTAAGGATCTCAAAATTGTGAAGATTGATAGACAGGTTAACAAGGTGACGCATGAGATTGCGAAATTCAATTTTGATAGCAAAAGCAATGAACTATGTAATGAAAGATTGTAAGAATCTTGATATTTAAATTAATATATGGGTGAGGTTTTCAAAAAAGAAAGAAAGACGTGTCGACCACTTTCATTCACACGACTACCTGATGCCAAGTTGGTTGGCTGGGTGACTACCGTTGATAGTCAAAGACGACAAGTGGTTTGGCCTTTATATGTATAATGAACGCGGGTAGTAGATAGTCATTTTTTTATAAAGTGGATAGGAGCGGCGACAGATGTTGTTGAATGGTGTCTTCGGACTTAGTGATGTATTACTTTGTAAGTCTTTGTGAATAATTAATAAAGTGGCCGTATGCATCGCCCAAATGCAGAAGCCGGAGGTCATCCTCCTTTTCAAAGAAAAGTAGATACTTATTTTTATAGTTAGGCACCTGATTTTTTTTTGGACCATGAATGCGCTTAACTGTAAATAAGGACCATTTAGGGACGTGTTAGGTTACTTGCATCTTTTTTGTCACTTTGCATACTTGTCTCATTTGACCCTGGCTGAGCATATTCTGGCAAAAAATAACACCTTCATGTTGATTGATTGCCTGGATCCCCTCTAACATTCATGTGCTAAAACCGAAGGCCTGCTGTTTGGTTGCGAACTTGTTTGAGGGGAAACATAAGTCCAGTTGTTTGGTTACATCCAGGACAGTTGTGTGGTAACCTCCTTCTCGATACGGTGATGTTATCAAAGGCATATATGAACTACCAAAAACTAAACTAGAAGCAACAGAACAATTTTAAACACAAACACAAGTCTTAATCATGCATTAGAAGTTTTAAACCAACATAGTACAATACGTTTTTTGCTGGCCATGAATGCGCTTAACTGTAAATAAGGATCATTTAGGTGAATAAATACTGGTTGCCCGGCAACCCAGAGAAGCCTTGACCGCCAAATCGTCTCCCCTCTTTCCCCACCTACGGAGCCCATGACGCGACCAAGCAGGGGGGCGCGTATGAACTGAACGTCTCTTTTGACGTCTCGCGCCCTAGGCCCTAGCTAGGTAAGGAACCGTGTCGCTGTTGGCAGTAGGATCCAAGAAGGAGCACCGCACTTTACACTCCGCGTGCACTGCAGCCAGCGGCCAGCTTCACATGGTGCACAGTAGTACGTATCGTATCATCAACTGGCTCGTGAGTAATAACTACACTGCTATGCGCAGCAGCATGACGCGTCCAATCAAGTCCATGCTTTCAGTTCACACGGCAAATTTCATTTTTCTCCATCTCGCAAAATAATAACAATAATTCATTTTTCTCTTTCTTTTTTCGGGCGAAGTAAACTTTGTCATTTTTTCTGTCCTAGTGAGAAAAGGCGTACAGCAGCAATTGACCCGCTGGTAAAACCACACAAGCAAATCTCGTGAGGAGTGAAAGGACCCAAGAGGGCGAAGCTAGGGTTCCTCCCCTGCTCCCCCGCCGCCGCCGGCAACCCGCGCTCTCCCCCGCCACCGCCGGCCGCCGGTCGCGCCCCCCAGCCCGCCTTTCTCCCCCTTCTTCCCTCCTTCCCTGCGCTCCCGTCGCCCCCCGAAGCGGCGGAGCGCCCCATCTGCTCCTCCCGTCTCGACCCGCCCTCCTCCTCCTTCCCCCTTCGTCGCCGCCGGCAGCGGCCTTCGGCATGCTCGGGCGGCGGCGGATGTCCCTTCCCCGCGCGCCCGAAGGGGGAGTCGGGGCTCCCTCCTGCCCGGCGGTGGGGCTCGACGGCAGAGCCCGTCGGGCCTCGGGTGCCCTCAACGTGGCGGCGTGGTCGTTGGCTGCGGGGCGACGCTGTGGGCTGCTGGCCGGCGGCGCCCGCTCGGCCCAGATCTGGGCCCTTTCGGTCCCCATATAGGTTGGAGCGGGCCTGCGGGTCCGGGCGTGTTGGCGTGGCTCCCTGGTGGTGTGGCGAGGCGGCGGTGGCTGTGGTGGTGATGGCTCCGGTGGCCGGCGTGCTGCAGCGTGGCTGCAGGGACTGTCCAGACCTGTTTGGGTCCGGCCGGGCCGGCCTGGCCTGGCAAGTCCCTGTCGCTACGTCTGGTCGGCTCCGCGCGGCGGTGGAGGTTGTTCCCTCTTGTTGGCTGCGGTGCGGTTGCCCCCGAGCCCGGTGTCTTCTCGTCCTTCCTCCAGGCTTCGTGTTGGCGACCTCAGTGAGACGGTGAAGATGGGGCGGTATCCGTGGTGGCACAGGCTGGTGGGCGGCATGTTGAGCAGTGCGCTTCCGATTGTCTGAGGTGGCGATGGTGGTTTCGGGGCAGGAGAAATCTCTGGCGGCTCGTTCGTCACCGGCGCGGCTGCGCCCGTGGGCGTTGCCGGATCCTCCTAAGGGGCGTCGGTGATACACCTTCCCCACTGCCATCTGTGTACCGGGGGAAACCCTAGGATTTGTCCGGACAGCAGCGGCGTCGTCGTCGCATTTCTTCCTGAAGATGTTGCTTGGTACGTGAGGCTTCGGAGTGCTTGGCGGGCGGTGGTACTTCTCCGGAGGGTGCAGCGGGTGTCGACCATCTTTACTTAGTTGAACTGCCGGTGTTGGCATTTGTTTTTTTTTCTTTCTCTCCTCTTTTTTGGTTTGTTTGTGCTGCGGCTCCAGCAAGCTGCTTGTATCGGTTGAAGCGTTGCTTTATAATCTAAAACGGGGGAAACCTTTTTTCTCGATGGCGTACAGCAGCTGAGTAGAAACAGAGTAGCAAGAGTGCACACTGCCCAGCCCAAGATCCACCCCCTTCCTCCCTCAGTCCCTCCTCTTACGCGCTGGTGGGTAAGGTTCCTCGCCGAGAGCAAACCACTCGTTTCCGACCATCGCCGTGCGTCCCCTGCCGCCGCCGCTCCTGCTGGGGGAGTAGCCTCCAGGTCCAGGTGAGCTCAACTGCCCCAACCAACTCTTGCATTACCAATTTCTTCTACTCTTTCATTTGTCTCCAACTCATAAAAATCAAACGCAAACTACTCCACTTGTTAGTTCTCAGTTTCGGCCCATCTCTTCTTAGTTGCCTTTTTGCATATTAACATGTTCATAGCTCTTCGTCTCCACTTGTTAGTTCCCACCCACTCTGTTTTTTTCTTCTTTTTTTGAGAGAAATTTGTCTGATTCTGAAGGTTTTTTTTGTTGCTGCCTATGTAGCGCAAGAAAAAGGGTCAGCATAGCAGATTTTTGTGAGGCAGGTTTCAAATAAGGTATATTAAGCAGGTCTCAAGATTTTTCTTTTTAAGCAGTATAAAATTACTCATCAGTACTAGAACCAAACTAATCGCGTAGCCAAACAAATCACTTATGCACTTATGCCCTAGTTATCAGAATGCCAAATTTTCAATTGATCCCCTCTCAGTTACCATTTTGCATACAACAAGTTCATAGCTCTTCCTCTCAACTTGTTAGATCTCAGTCACCCTTTTTTCTGTCTGATTCTGAAGCCTGCAGGGGGATTCTTTTGCTTATGTAGTGCAGAAAAAGGAATTGTCAACACCAGCATAACAGTTTTTTGTGAGGCAGGTCTCAAATATGTAGTATATTAAACAGGTTCCAAGCAAATTTGGTTTTTAGAAAAGAAAAGAAAAAACTATTTGTTAGTAGAACCAAACTTATTATCGCGTAGCCAAACAAATCACCTACACTCTGCTCTCAGCTCTGCTGCCTCCAGCGCTGAGTTGCTTGCTGCTGCAACACGCATGGTTGAGTCAATTCAACTTGCTATGCTTATCGATCAGATCGAGGTTGAGTCAATTCAACTTGCTCTGCTTATTAATCAGATCAAACCGCTCTTCTTAACTTTTGTGAGCTCTTCCATTTGCGCTATCTCCAACTAAGTTGAATAGCTGCAACTCTTACTTAATAATTCCACTTCATTTTATTTTGTTCAGTTATGGAAGTGCATTTTACAGAAATTTACTAGCAGTTCACTTGTCTGACTCATGCATGCACTCGAGGATTCAGTGTTGAGTCCGGTTTTCAGAAAATGCATTATGTTGTTGTGTTGTGTCTGTGAGGAATTTTGTGTTTTTCAGGGAGACGAACATCTGAAGCTGTACTTAGTACTCGTACATTCCTAGGAGATTGATATGGATCTCACGTTCCAGTTGATAGAACAGATTACCAAAAGTTTCTCTGACGATCAAAAAATTGGCTGTGGTGCATATGGGGAAGTTTACAAGGTACGACGTGATTTCCGGATAGTAGTTATCACTTGCTATGACCGAGTGCTCCATTTTAACACCGGGTTTTAAATAACAGGGAGTGCACAATGGTGAAGAAATTGCCATTAAGAAGCTTTACAACATGCAAGGGATTGATGACAAGGAATTTACAAATGAGTTCCGTAATCTTATGAAGGTCAAGCATCCGAACATCGTACGCTTAATTGGCTACTGCTATGAAATACGACATAGACATGTTGAGATGAACGGAGAACTTGTTTTCGCTAAAATAATAGACCGACTTCTCTGCTTTGAATATATGGAGGGTGGAAGCCTTGCTAAGTATATTTCTGGTATGATGGTATTTCTAATACTTTTAATTCAATATGTTTATGTCTGACAGTCCGAGTATAATGCCTGTCTTTACCTCTTGCGCAGATGAATCCTGTGGTCTTGATTGGCCCACTCGATACAAAATCATTAAGGGAATTTGTGAGGGTCTAAATCATCTTCATAATGCGCGGAGTGATTATATTTATCATCTGGATTTGAAACCGGATAATATACTGTTGGATAAAAACATGATGCCCAGGATTGCAGATTTCGGCATGTCAAGACTCTTAGCTTCATCCAAAACCCATATAACTCAAACTCTAAAAGGAACACTGTAAGTTGATTGAGCATGTCTGATCCATTTCTCTTCATTCAATAGCAATATGTTGTGCTTGCATTGCCTTTACTGTATGTGTCAATACCATGCAGAGGGTACATGCCACCAGAATTCATTGACAAGCGCAGAATCACAAAGAAGTATGATGTGTTCAGTGTTGGTGTCATAATTTTACAAGTAATGGCTGGAGCTCAGGGCTACAACAATTGTTGTGAGATGTCTTCTCCCCAACAGTTTATCGAGCTTGTAAGCCTTTGTACTATATTTTGAGCAAATGTTATGTTTTTTCTGGTATCTTCACACTATCCAAGAATGCGTGCGCTTATGAATCTTTATATATATACCGCAGGTACATGAGAACTGGAAGAAAAGGCTTCAAGGGATGCCAATGCAGGAAAATACTTACTCAATTGACATCCTAGCAGTGCAGAGATGTATTGAACTCGCAGTGAGATGTGTGGAGGCCGATCCCGTAAAAAGGCCTAGTATAATGGACGTCGTCGATGAGCTGAATAAACTAGATGCTGACATGAAGAATATATCACTTCCATGCCAGGTAAGATTCAGGTTATCTTTTCAAATGAAACTGAATCAAAACTTTGGGAGTTTAAGTAATTTGGTGGATCCTAAACATTTCTGTCATTCTGTGGCATGTGTATCTGAGCCAAATTCATACGAATACAAATTAACATTGGTCATATTTCCACAATTCAGAGATCACTCGAAGTTATGTGAATTTCTTTGTCATTTGGCCGAACTGGAATCTCCAATTTTTCAGTTATTTCAGTGGTGCCCAAAATATTTTCAAATCTGAGATTTGATACCATGATCTATTTATTCTCATTGCAGGAAACTTCTGATTCCAAAGATCTTGAGCTCGATCCTGCCCTCGAGCTACGCTTCCCATTTGAGCTAAACAGGGACATATCATGTTGTATGCAGCTAATCAACAAGACAAACGAGTTCGTTGCATTCAACATCAGAACCAATAAAATGAAGTACAGTGCACGGCCAAATAACGGGACTATGGCACCATATTCCAAGATTTATATCACATTTACATTGCTGGCACAAGACAAGGATCCACCCTATATGCGGTGCCAAGACATGCTCATTGTGCAGAGCACTAGGCTCAGCATGGAATCCGGTGATGAGATCACTGACGAGTTCTTCGAGAAGGCAGTGGCAAGTAGGGTGGTGGATGAGGTGAAGTTGCCGATTGTCTATGTTGTGTAGTTACTGTGCTGGAGCATGAGTGAAATCCATCTAGGGTGACATGACAAGGGAAACATAGAGGCTCATGACTTGCATAAAGTTCTGCGGATATTTGAGAGTAGATTCTGTCGGTAAGAAAACTATGTTCAACTTTTGCGTGTGTAACCGTTTAGAAAGACTAATATGAACTTAGATCTGTATCCACCCTTCACTAGTTATATGGACTCAAAGGATTCATGCTACTACATTGCGTTTTTGTAAAGGGGGTGTATATTAATTAAGAACCATTGTCATCATTACAATCACACAACGTCAGATTGGACACGCATGTTAGAGCATCTACAACCGGACTTGACAAATTCAACCCCTCAAACGCTCGTGGACGTGCCCGAGCGCGTCCGCGGACAGTGACCGGTCACCCCTCAAAAAACAGATTCCACATCCGGATACCTTAAATTAGAAACCTTAAATCCATATTATTATATGCAATGTGAAACCTAATCTACGCGGAGCTCGTCCGGTTCTGCTCCCCGCTCGTCCGGCTCCGCCCTGGCCATGTCCAGCGGCCGCCTGCACTCCTCAGAGTGTTGGGCCGGTCGCCGGAAAGGTAGGGTAGAGCATGGGACACGAGCTGGCTCACGGGACTGAAGGCCCCGCCGTCTCCCATGCCCTACTCTTCCTAGTCGGAGACCGGAACCCGAACGGTGTCGCCGACGTCAGATCGATGATGGATCCATCCGGACTGTTGCGCCATACGGGACGCCGGAGAATGCGACGGGAGGCACCATGGGCCTCGTCCGACGAGGCCATGGCATGGCGTGCCTGCTGTGCAAGGCACCAGGCCCGGGAGGCGGCGGCAGCCACGGTGGCGGAAGTCGGCGAGGCGGAGTCTCGGCGGCGTGGCACAACGGGGTCTCGGCGACAGATGCATAACGATGTACGCGCGTAGGGAGGTGGTGTTGTCTAGTGTCGTGCCAGCGTTGATGGCAGGCCTGACAATGTCGATGCATCAGTACCTGCTCTGAAGATAGATGGATCAGTGAAAGACGGCGGCGATGACCTACGAGTGTGCGTCGGACCGGTGTGTGCCCCAGAACGGTATGCGGCTTGGTTGGGGCCTCCTGCTATAGATGTTAGGCCTAGGAAAGAGGTCTAGGTATTCGGCTCGGACTATCTACATCCCTTCATCAAGTGGATAGGAGTAACGACAAATATTGCGAAGATGACAACTTCAAACATATTGAGGTATTTCTTTATAAGGTCTTTATAAATAATTAATAAAATGGTTAAAATGATTGTATGCATCGCTTAGATGCAGATGTGTCAGGGATTGACCTTCTTTTCAAGGAAAAATGTAAGAGAAGGGCAATGAAATCAACGTGTAGAACCTGCAAAAAAAACGCGTAGGACATAAAAGCAAAGTTGAGAAGCCTTTATCTGAAAATTCAATTTGAGATATATATGGGGGGCGTATGAAACTGCTTTGTGAGACAAGGAGGGGACGTAACGAGACGGGAAGACGCCTGCTGCCCCCATGTGAAAGTGAAACCAAGAACGACTCGTCTCGTTCCTGTCAAAATCAAAAGGAAAAAAGAAAAAGAAAAAAGCTACCCGTCTCGTCTAGTTGTCTTAGAGATTCTAGTCTATAGCGTTTTTTTGCGAAAACTGTAAAAAATCGGTTATTTTTAGGGTTTGAGGCTCTACTAGTAATGCTCTTACCCTGAAAGCGTCGTTCCCAGCAGCAGTAGCAGTAGAGAGACCGCGCATGGCACATTCTTGTTCCTGGCCATGGTGCGGCATAGCTGAAGAGTGAAGAGAGATCCCCTGGTGGTGGAGGCGCCGTCGCGCGGGGGAAGGGGAAGAAGTCAAGGCGCGTCTCAAGGCGGTGGGACGCTGCGGCGGGGGCGCCTAGCCCCGCATACACTTGAAGTTGGAGGGGATTTGGCCGCTGCATCTGCATCCGCTCCATCGATCCCCACTCAGGCAGCAGGTTCGGGATCTATGCTCCCTCTCATTTCTTATCTCCTATCTGATGTCCCTAGCAGCAGCTAGAGAATCACAAGAGAACTCGCGAGCGAGTACGGGGTTGACCGAAGGAGGACGAAGGAGCTGAGCTCAGTTCATCTCTTTTTCATTCGATGGATTAGTACAGACCAGAGGGTTGGGTAGATAAGCACCACACACACACACGCACACACCTACTACTCAGTCCACATGGCAACAGGATGGACTTGACCTGTCATACACCAACCTGTATTAGGTGGGGGTGACACATCCTAAAACTGCAACATCTGTATTGTGGCGTTCCAGCAATTCCGAATGTCCGTTATCATTTGGTTTCTTTTTCGACAAAGGGTGGATTTTATTACCATTTAAGGTTTCTAGAGTGGGCTAATAGGAGTCCATATATAAAAAATAAATAGATCTGCTGCTACACCAGAATGGCTGCTCAAGGTATATTATATCATCGAACATTTAAGGAAACGTTTTCAGTTTATGACATTTAAGGCCCAAATAAATTTTCTTTATTTTTTTCGAATAAATAATTTAAAGGAATCCCCTAGAATAATTTAAGGGAGTACTAGATAAGAAACCAATGTCTCAAAAAAAAACTAGATAAGAAACCAATTTCGCATTGCACAGGCTAGCTAAGGGAGTTCAGATCTGCGTACATACAAGACATACAAGAGGTCCTTAGCAGGAAGGCTACTCGATCTACTACTATCCAGCTACGGTTGTATACAGGTGGGAGCCTCGCTTTTGGCTCGTCGCCGGCGAGCTGGTTCCTGGTTGAGGTTTCAGATTTGGTTCCCCAAGTACTTGATATTACATATGGCTCTGAGGGTCAGATAATGCAAGGACCATGACGTGTTAAACTATTTCTTAGAGCTAAGATACTTGATAGTTTTTTTCACAGTTCTTTTTTCTGTATGTGCAGAAGGGCCAAGCTGGATGAATGACATGACTGCAGCAATGAATATACGTTTACATATTTTAGAAAAGATTACAAATGGATTCTCACCGGACTCGATAATTGGAAGGGGTGAGTATGGAGACGTTTACAAGGTATGGCTTATGACTAGATATTTTGTGTTTCAACAAATGTACCAGCACTAACAACAAACCACACAAATATAAAAAATAATAATTATCTATGGTACTTATGTCAAGCAGGGAGTCTACAATGGTGAAGTGATTGCTGTGAAGTTGCTTCATAATGATCCGCAGCAAGTACTCGATGACACACAATTTAACAGCGAAGTCGGTAACCTTTTGAGGGTTGAGCATCCAAATATTGTACGGTTGCGTGGTTATTGTTATGAAGCACAGTATAAATATGTTGAACACAATGGTGAGAAAGTTTTGTGTAAACATATGTATAGAGTTCTCTGCTTTGAGTACTTACAGGGTGGAAGCCTAGACAAACATCTTAATGGTACAATGGAACTTCACTTCAGTATGGTCATTATTTTCTATGCTTAAGCAAAACCGAATTCTTAAATTCTCATTTGTTAACATTATCTTTACCAACTTCTGTAGAACAATCTTTTGCACCTAACTGGAGCACACGTTACAGTATTATAAAAGGGATTTGTGAAGGTTTAAATTTCCTTCACGGGTGTGAACCACCAATTTTTCATCTTGATCTGAAGCCTGCCAATATATTACTAGACAGTTCCATGGTGCCTAAATTGGCGGATTTTGGATTGTCAAGGCTCTTCAATCGATCACACACTCATGTCACAGAAAGAATTATAGGAACCCAGTAAGTGCTCGTGGGACTCCTCATTTTGTATTTTTCTTTCTTTTGTGATCAAATAAATGGTATTTACACCTGACTGTGTTCTTTATATATCACAGGAAGTACATGCCACCAGAATTCATAAAGAAAGGCTTCATCTCGATTAAGAATGATGTCTTTAGTTTAGGTGTTGTAATCATGGAGATAATAACAGGGCTTAGTGGTTACTCAAGTTTCTTAGAAATGGACGACGTCACACAATTTATGCAGGAGGTAAGAATAAGCATAGAGTTTGGCACTCAAGTTCATATAACAAACTACCACATGATGAAATGCCTGGTGTCTATACTCTATGAGTCATGGTCGTCCAATAAATGAGTTAATAAGAGGACCGAAGGATAAAGAAACATATAGCAAAACTTTTTGCCCCCACACAATACATTCTGCATGGAATATTTTTGTCAAGGACAAATTTGAACAAGTATCATATATCATAGTTTTACATCCTTCATCTCCAATGTTATCTGTATATTTTGGTTTCATAGGTACTTACCAATTGGAAGAATATCATTCAAGACTCATCGGAGTACCCATCAGAGGAACTACATCAAGTGAAGATATGCATTAACACAGCAATATGTTGTGTGGATTCTGAAAGAGACAGTAGACCCACTGTAGCAGGTATCCTGGATACCCTGAATAAGACAGAAACACATATTCCCAGGAGACAGGTACAATCTGCCTACTTAATGCGAACGAAATGCATTACAGTTTGCAGAAAATAATTGGTCGGATAGTTAATAAAAAAGAAACGATCTCTTGGATACATGGACTACTAAGCACTTGTAGAGTTTGCAGCGCCTCATTTCCGGTCAAATATCTTTCCATATCTGTGCGCTTTCTCTGTGCTGCAATTTGCCACACTTGTATGTTGCTTTTTTATGTTTGAATGTGGTGCCTTTTTCCATGGTGCCGTTTTGACATTGTATTAAAGCTCTTCCCCTGATGGTTTGCATGTTTTGTGAATAGCAGTTTAATCACCAAATTGTCTACCACATAATGAAAGCATATTCATCACAGAGAGTTAATTGATTATGATAATTTTCCTTATCCTTCCTAGTACTTATACATGAAAGTTATTGTAGTTGGAAGATGTGCTCCCTTGTCCGACAGTTGGTCCCACGAATACAATGGCTAAAAGGTTGAAGACGATTCCTGCAAAGAAAAATAAAAGGCTGAAGACTCTGACAACTGAAGTGGACAATATAACAAATAAACACCAAAATTTCTGTTGCACGCCAAGAGATAGCTTTAACATTAATGTTCAGCAAGTTCCTGACAGGGAAACATCGTCAGATGTGGAACAAACATTAATCATTGGAAGGACTGAAGAAAAACAGAAAATATTGTCTATTTTATCTGAGAGCATCACAGGAGAGATGGCCATTCTTCCAATATATGGGATTGGAGGCATTGGAAAGACAACCTTAGCACAATTGGTATTCAATGACTCACAGTTCCATGAATATTCTCGGGTGTGGGTATATGTTTCCCAGGACTTCAACTTGAAGAAAATTGGCAACTCTATAATATCACAGTTAACAAACAAGACCAGCCATATAGCAGAGAAGCAGATGCTTCATAACCGCCTTGGAGAGCTATTTGCTGGTAGAAGAATCCTTGTTGTTTTAGATGACCTGTGGGAGGAGAAACCATCTGAGTAAGATAAATTGAAGGCTATGCTAATGCCTCACCTGGGAAGCAAGGTGAGCGTAGTAACTACACGCGATGAAGCCATTGCAAGGAAAGTTAGCAGTACTGTTATGCCATTCAAGCTAGATATTTTGACGGATGATATGTGCTGGACTATAATAAAACAAAAAAGTTCCTTTGAAAATCGACCTGACAAAAAACAGTTGGAGCAGATAGGAAGGGACATTGCAATCAAGTGTGGGGGCATGGCTTTGGCAGCTCAATCACTTGGGTACATGTTGAGGGACATGACGTCTGACCAATGGCAGTCAGTGAGGGACAGTTATATCTGGAATTTATCTACTTCTGAAGATCCATCATTAAGAAATCATGAAGTGCTTGCATCCTTGCTGTTAAGCTATAGTCACATGCCTGAATTCTTGAAGTTGTGCTTTTCCTATTGTGCAATCTTTAGGAAAGGTCAGAAGATAAAGAAGTACGATCTAATTCACCAATGGATAGCTCTTGGATTCACCGGACCATCTAGGATACTTGGTCCTATGCAGCTCTGCGAGAAATATGTTAGTCAACTTATGGGGATGTCTTTCCTTGAATATTCAAAGGCACCTCAGGTGAGTTACTAAATGGTTCTATTATTCTTTTCTATCTTATGTATACCAACTCACATGGGATATATTTTTTCATGTCGACTCTGGTAACATATTATAGTGTGTATGCCCATGTTGTAGTTTTTCTGCCCTATCTTTTGGAAATTCACAAATGTGTATATTTTACACAAATGTATGAGGCTACAGTGCTGTACCCACTAACAGTAATTTTGTGCCAAACATAATAGAAGATTCAACATTCTTATTCATCACATGCCTCATGGTTGCAACAATCTGAGTACCGCTTGGATCACAGTGTGCATCAAATGCTAAAGAGAAGTGTGCAAATAAACAAATTTTTTTGTTGATTATGTCTATGGGCGTAGGGGCAATGTAGGCGGAAAGTAGTGCTGCCGTCACACAAGGCTGTTTTCAGTTGACGATATGATTCCTTAGATTTTTCGGATATAATTGACCGAAATATTTGAAAGGTTGCATGGTAATAAAATCACGGTGTACAATTATGAAGATCTACTGATAGTTGGTCATTAGCTAAAATAATAGTTTGCTGGTCATATATTTTGCTTTTCTGTAGGAATTTTTAGCCTATTCCTCTTTTTTCCTTCGTATGGTGCTTTTAGTTTATAAAATATGGATATACTATACAATGAAGTAAATTCAAAATTCTGACACAAATAGGTGTTTTCTATGCAGAGAGGACAGCGGGACAAATATGTTACACTATTCACGATGCATGACCTAGTGCACGATCTTGCAAGGGCGATCTTGGCAGATCAAGTTAATGATAAGGGCAGTCCTGGGGGAAACAGTTGCCACTATGCATTGATCACAGATTGTAGCAAGCCATTGCAGTTGTCCCCGAGTTATCTTGAAAATATAAGGGCGCTGCATTTTCGGGCCTGCCACGAAATAGAGCTTCATGGTGGTGCATTTTCACCGGCTAAGTGCATCCATGTCTTGGATTTAAGTGAATGCCTTATTCAGAAGTTACCTGATTGTATTGGCCAACTGAAGCAGCTGAGGTATCTTCGTGCTCCACGGATACGAGATAAAATGATTCCCAATTGTATCACCGAGCTCTCAGAATTAACTTACCTCAACCTTAGAGACTCTCATATCTCAGCACTGCCGGAGTCAATTGGTGATATGAAAGGTCTGATGCATCTTGATTTAGCAGGTTGTGCTGGCATTTGTGAATTTCCAAAATCATTCGCGGAGCTGAATCAGTTGGTGCATCTGGATTTATCAGATCGCTATTATACCAAACTTCACTTGAGTTTATCTGATACCATTGGCAATCTAATCAATCTCAGGTATCTAAATCTTATGGGGTGCATTAATTCTTGGGGCGTACCAGATGATCAAGTGGGCAACTTGCTTCACTCTGTCACCACCCTTTCCAATCTAGAGCATCTGGACTTGTCATGCAATAGTAATCTTTCTACTATACCAGAAAGCATTAGCAACCTCAGGAAGCTTCATACATTGGACCTCTCATGCTGCTGCAACCTAGAGAAGCTTCCCGATAGTATGTATCGGATGGTTAGTCTGAAGGTTCTAATTGTGGATAAAGAGGTTACATCATCCATGCTCTCTCGGTTGAATTTTGCCTCGTTGCCACAATTTGTGGTGCATGCTTCAAGTGATAAATGTTGCAGCTATATCAGCCTGCTCCAACATACAAATACTGATGACCTGATGATAGATAGACTTGAAAATGTGAAGTCTTCCGAAGAGGCAGAGTATAGAACTGATAGATAAACGAAATATTGAAGTGTTAAGATTTGAATGGACTTCAGCTGCTCAGAGGTTTGTGGATGGATGTGTTGGAAAAACTAGTGCCACCAAGCAGTGTACAGAAATTGACTATAGTTGGTTACAGGAGTGTCAGCTTACCTGGTTGGTTTATGGATATTACGCGGTATCTCCCTAATCTTTTGGAGATAAATCTATATGATTTTCCTAGGTGCAAGAAGCTACCACCACTTGGTCTACTACGAAACTTAGAATACCTGGGTCTCCACCGTATGGACGGCTTGGAACAGTGGACCACGACACATTACAGTGGCAAGGAAGGTTCATATGAGCTCATGTTCCCTAAGCTTCAAAGGTTGACCATAGAGCAGTATGCCAAGCTGAGGATAAAATCGTGTCTGCCTAGAGCTATGTATTTGTACATAAAAGATTGTGATACTATGCTATCATCATGTGGAGAGAGCTCTTCACACAGCGGTACTTCCTCATCTTCTCCATTAACTTGCCTGAATGTTGCTGAAAGCAAGGTGCCCATGCATCAATGGAGGTTGCTTCACCACCTCCCCGCCCTTCGTTGGTTAACTATTACCGGTTGCAGTGATCTGACCACCTCACCTCACATCATCCACAACCTCTCTTTCCTCACAGAACTGTGCCTCAAATTC